TTATCTACAAGGAATGACATGGTGACAAAACATGGGTAAAACCCAAAATTATTTCTCACCTCGCACGGGGTCTGCCAGCAGCGGCCGCAAGGCGTCCTGGAGGCTGTCGTCGGCGTCCTGGTCCGTGGGGATCATCACGCGGTGGCGCACCTCGACATCGGCGGCCTGGAGGGCCAGGTCAAGGGCCTGAGCCGCCAACTGCCACCACCCGGAGCCTGCAATCATACAAAACAAGGGGTTGGTTTATTACAAAATTGCATCCTGGAACAACTACGTATCTTTTTTGTGCCGTTCGTCAACAGTGGTCTGGTTTGCAGAGGGGAGACACGGAAGCCGCGCGGCACCAAGGTCTAAGTTTTGAACCAGTTTGGAGAAGTCTGCCGAGCCGGTAATGGTGGTGCTGCTGCTGCTGGGGGTAGTTGGAGGCATAATGGCGGACGTGAGGCGTGTGGGCGACACAAGGCGGCGGCCACCGGCGGGTACTCGTGCGCCGCGCACCTGCACCCCGGGCCTAACAAGGGGACTCATTCATACAGTTGTAAATTTCCGAATCCGTTCAAACCTTGAAGTTTTCAATGTTGACTGTATACTAAAAGATTGCCAATAAAAGTTCGTACCCAATTTGATATTTTGGGGTACATTATGGGAGTCCAACTTCTCAAAAATTACAAAACATGATCCCTTTTTTTTTTACGAAAAACCGTTAGTTATCCTCGGTTTCCAATCAAGTCGAAATCTAAGTTCACAGGACAAAGACAAACAAGGGATCATACCGGGATTTTTCAAAAATAATGGATTTTCAGTCGTTTCATCAGATATGGGACTTTTCCCCTATAACTATTAAAATATCAAATTGGGCGGGAACTTTTATCGGCAATCGTTTAGTATGCGGTGAACATTGAAAATCCCAGAGTTTACCACAATTTACAATTGTATGAGAATCCTTGTAAGGGTCCACCCCAACGGCACGACGGCCACCACGCCGATGGGCGCCTCGCGAGGCGGTTGGAAAATTAGAAAGGGGTGAGAGTTACGACGGCGTGGCTACCGCCCGCCAGATGAAGAACTGGGAGTAATTGCAATTAAAATAAATTCTATTGAGGTCCATTTTAAAGGAAATGTTCCGCTACAGTACATTACAGATCTCTGCTCTGCTCGAGTCATATCACCACAATTAACATAGTAAGACCCATGCACTGCACACTAAAGGGAGAGGGGACGCAGAGCTTTGGGCGAGATATGGGGGAGGAGGAAGAAGGTTGGGAACAGCCTTTCGCTTCAACCAGCGTCAGCGGTCGCCGCCCGCCCCCCTTTCTGCCGGGGCCCGCAGGTAAGTCGGGGGAGGAATAGATTGCTAGCGACTGTGAGGAGGGGACTGGAACGGCTTCGCTCCCCGGGGAGCGCTCGGCTCGCTCTGCCTACTCGCACCGGGCAGGTGAGCACAGCCGTCCGGGCCGTCAGGGCCCTTCAACAGCAGTAGCCACCCGGCCATTACACCATCGATATTTTATTGATCGATTTAATTAGTTGCTATCGGAACGGGGGGGCTGATGGCCACAGAATCACAAAACAGGCGCACAGCAGCAGCGCGGGAGCCGGGTTGATTTGTCACCGGAGCGGGTGTCCCGG